ACATCACAGCATTTACCAGGGGTGTTTGAGCCACAGCATCTCAGCAGCACATCTCACTTAGTCTTACACACTGTATATTTAAGTAAAGTTAGTCTAACTGAACAGCTGTGTCTACTCAGCTGACCTCTAAAGTAAGGAGTTTCTTACAGGGATCAGATATATCATCATTTTCTCATTGTATTTTTTTCTATAGCTCAAACTTGTTTATTATATTTGTGCTGATCTGCTTAAACATCACTTAACTCTCACCCTCCTCACTTTCCACCACCCTTGTCTCTGCTGTGTCTCATCACAATTTGTCCACTTTTTTCTGCAGCGGATGCTGCATCAAAGCACAGCAGGGAGACTGACAAAAGGAAATGGTAGTTCCTATCCATATGGTGTCCAGTTAAACACACACACACACACACACACACACACACAATCACATAAGCAGCAAGGGACAGAAAAGATCTAACAGCCTATCTTTGGCTGACTGTAGCGGTCGCCCACATAAATGTCCGCTTGGCTCTGCTCTGATCACATAATTGCTCTGTGCACACCTCTCCCACACACACATACACAGAAGGAGAGCGCACATCCACAGAGCATACACTAAAGCGCACTTAGGGAGTTCACACACACACACACACATACACTTAAAACCTGGATATATGCAGCACCCACACACACAGTCACTGTTCAATATGGCATGAAGCGGACCGCTTACACATGCAGGTATGCCTGCGAGCGAACGTGCACACATGCACAGCAAACAACAAATCCCACCAGCTCGCCCACATGGTCAGTATGTTGAGTGTGAGAGAGACACAGACATGCAGAAAGAAAAAGGTGAGAGCAGAGAATATTAAAAGATGAGACTGAGAAAGTACAGTGAACACTCTGAAAGCCATCCTGAGTAAGCTTTACAAAAGTCCAATTTAGTCTGACATAATAACACATTTAATAAAATTTTGTTGCGTTACATATACTCATCGCCTTTTGTCTGATTAAAAATTCATCACTTTTCTGGTCCATATCATCGTTGTTTGAAAGTTTAGTCACATAATTCTTATGGGATGAATCAATAATCCCCTGCCTGCTGCAGGGCTGTTGTTCTGTAGATGACCCCGGTGTTTGACCTCATTTTAGCAGACAAATTTCCCCACGAGACTAAATTACGTAACATGTCTTACTACTGCCAGTACATGAAATGATCATTAATGGGTTGTGATGTGTTTCTTTTGCCCAATCAAATTTCAAAAATTTCTCTATGAAGTTAAATATTGATGACAAAATAAGTGACTATCAAGTAATTAACCTTTCAGAAATCCGATGAGAGCCTGTGTTAAACAGAAGGGCCTGTACTAGGAAGACAGCCAATAGCAAGCAGTTTACAGCCAATGAAATTCCCTACACAACAATGTGCAGCTTAAACAGTTTTTTTTCCCCAACATAAACCGCTATAAATATAAATAAATAATTAAAAAATGGCTCTTATATTGTCTTAAAGGAAATGTCTTAATATTGTCTTTCTTATAAATTTAGATTTTCTAAAAGTAATTTTACGTAAAATAAGGTCTTAAATGGACATTTCTGTCTTTGTTAATTTGTTTTTCATTCTTCATCATACATTAAGTTCTTAGTTTTAACCTATTTTCTTAGCACCTTGACAAACTCTTTGAAAAATGTGAAATATTCATTTTCTGCGATACTGTTATCCACTTTGAATATGGACTACATAAATCTTCAAGCTATTGTCCCATTGTGTTTTTCAGCTAATAAGTGCCAGCTATGAAGGCATCTATTTTCAGAAAATTATTCAGGCGGAGATTTGAAGAAAAAAAATATATATATATATATTTTAGTGTGTTCAGTAGCACTTACAGGGATTCAGACTGTTGGGGGAAAAACTGAGTGTTACCTTTCCACAGAAAAATGTATGTGCATGTGCTTTAAAACCTCTTGCACTCCACCCCCATTTTGTAGCGAAAACGCCTGAAATGACATACCCAAATTAAATGACTGTAGCCTCTGAACCGCTCTGACTACATGCATGCATGAGATCTTGCCAGAAAGAAAACTCCCTGAAGTTTCTTGTGAAAGTGTCAGAAACACTCTAGGTGATACAGAGACAGAGTAATGGGTCTCTGAAGTCAGTAAAAAGTTGAAGATTTTGCCTAAAATAAAATAAAAAATGATTTTCACGATTAATAACTGTTTGTGGCTTCATCTGAGCAGGTAAATTACACTGTGGGGCTGTAGGCACACTATCAATGAACATTTGTTTCAAATTTGAAGAGAACTGCTCAAAGTATGACCATTCTACAGTGTTTTTTCCATGAAAAGATCCAGACGGAGCTCCAAATGACAAGAGCGCTCACTCCGCTTCAAAACAGTACTATCAGTGATCAAACAACACTCAGCCAGCTTCAGACATTGTACCTTATTGAAATCAGGTGTGATTATGATAGCTGATGTTGTTTATGACACAGAAACACCATAAAGTATCACCAAATAAAGCCATATGAAACGTGAAAGTTGTGATCTCACTTTCTACACGGTATCTCTCGGCCAAAAATAGTGGTAGGAGTGAGACTCTTACCTTTAATAAAAGATCTAAGTCTCCACTCGCAGCTCCGCATGAGATCGCGAGTAATCCTTTAACTTTTCCCGTCGAAAAACAGCATGACATGACTTGTCACCACTCATCGCAATTTTGGACTTTGTGTGTTTAGGCTGCTCTGGTGCAAAATCCATAAGAAATAAAAGAAAAATGATGTCATTTTTGAAAAGCTGAGAGCTTCCTGAATCCGGCAATACCAAACATCACATGGTTTGATGACGCAGTGCGCCTGTGAGATACCATTTAACAGAGGAGGGAGGGAGCGTGGACGCCGGCGTCCGAGCGGAGTTAGAGAGGTTAAAGGGTTCAAGAACAACTTTCAATGTACTTTGGGTATGCCTTGGGTAGGCCTTTTGGGCAATTTTAACAGGCAAGAAGTTAAAGTAAACTATGGTATTTATTGATTACAAGTTTGACATCTTAGAAAATATGCCTTTTAACTTCTTGCTGATAGTTAGATAAGAAGATTGATAACACTTTCATGTTGGTACTGTAGATCTGAAGAGGAGCCAGCAGCTAGTTATCTTTGCTTAGCATGAAGAGTGGAAACAGGGAAATCCTCCGAGCACCTCCTAAGTCTAACATTATAACCTGCTTGTCTAATCTATATAAAAACCAAAGTGTAAAAACAACACTTTTGACTTGGGTTATGTGCAGGACTATTTCTTGGCCAGGAACGGTAACTGTTTGGACTCTTAACTTGTCCAGCTAAAAAAAGGTTGATTGTTGTCACTTTTGCATGGATGCATAAAATTGTTTTCCCCCATTTCCAGTCTTTATGCTCAGCTAACAGATCCGGCTGCTGGCTGTAGCTTCATATCTGCTGTACAGAATTGAGAGTGACATCAATCTTCTCTTCTAACTCTCACTCTCAAATAAGCGTATTTCCCAAAATCCTGAACTGTTGCTCCAGGAGTTTAATGACTCGGAACTGTGTGAGATATTATTGACAGTATCCAAGAACACACTGACTGTAATCAGATTCTGAATCACATGTTGCTCAATCCAAACTGGTGCATGGGAGTGTGTTTTGTCAACTGAGCCCCGCCCACCTAAAATCAGTAAGAAGACCACAGAGGAAAACATCAATATGCAAATCTCTAATCTAAAATGACCAAAACTGTTGTAACTGTGTGTTCATGTAGGATCCCATCTCTAGTCTCAAGAAGCTGACTGAAAAAATGAGCTTTCAGGACCTGTAATGCCCAACTGGAACTTAGTTATTTTCACAGTAGCTCTTTGAAGCCCTGTGATGTAATTCTTAAGATGCTGTGTGTGTAATTACAAAAGGATCTCTACAGGATTGTTATGATTGCCCTCAAATTCCCTCGATTAAACCACCAGGACCCACACTCTCACTTACAAGCCAGCAAAATAGTGAGACAGGATTACATTACAGGGGAATCAATTCTAACTGGATTGTTATAATTAGATGACCTGAGTTTGCTAAAATGTCAGTAAGTAATTTTCTGTGTTTTTTTTATCACTTTCAGGACCTGGGAGGGGAGCATGGTAATAAAATTATAAATGCTGTTGGTAATATTTGTAATTACAGAACCTCCACTTGTAAAACTGCAGAACAAATATTCTGTCTAACATGAATCATGCTGAGCAAGCATAAAGGCAGCATGAAACGAACACACAATACTCTTATATGTTAAAGCCTGCATGTATAGCTGACCTCTATGTCACGCATTTACTATACAGTATCATACAAAGCATTATTGAGACACCGTGCCAACTTCAATAGCCAAAGTCAAAGTCTTTCTGTCAAGCTGATTAGTGAAACACAACAAATCGAACTGGAATAAAGACCATCAGCACATTTGTCATCAGTTGGCCACTGATACACAAATGAGCCCAACAGCAGCAACAATGACAGCAGCGGTCAGACAGGCTGATCATTACACACCCTCAGCAGAAAGAAAACAGAAAGACAGCTATCTGAGCTCTGAGATAGAGTTTGGAGAGTAGTGTTATCTGAGAAAGGCAGAGGTGGTGATTGTGGGGAGAAAAAAGAAAGAAATGGCTTGAGCAAAGTAGAAGTACATATAAATTTCATCAAGTTAAAGAGATAACAATGCATCAGAAAGGACAACAGTGGGGAAAACTGTTGGGAAAGGAGAGAGGGAGCATATCTGACAGAAATAAGAGTGAGGAGGAGTAGTATGAGAAAAGACAAGGGGTAGCATTATCGTTGTATTCGAGAAAAGACCGATGAGTGTTAGCAATGAAAAAGGATGACAGTGAAACACAAAAACAAAGAGAATACCAGTGAGACAAAAACCTCAAAAAAAGATAAAGCCTGAGAACTTTCAAGCACAGAAAGGCTCATTTTCTGCAAAATGACAAGGCTTCAAGAGTAGACTACAAACACCAAGGCTGTTCATCCTACCTGAGTTCCTCTTAGAGATGTATTTGACGCCATCACAAGCTCCCGAGGCGAGGAGGAGGAGGACGAGGAAGAGGAGGGATAAAGTCTTCATCTCTCTATTCTCCACTGGCACCTTCAGCAGACAAGACACAGTGGGGACAAAGTGTTAGAGATAGCATATCAGTCTGATTCTCACTGGCAATAACAAGCACACAGTATTCAGACTGTATCTAGAAACATACTGTAAACACAATTACAATGACACCATTACAGTGTGTTGAAATCAGAATTCTCGCCCCCTCACGATTGTTACAAGCTTTGGGGAAAGTTGAACTCTTGTTGATTCGAGAAGGGGTGCAAACAGCAGTCTGCAATGTCAAGTCACACACAAATCCTCATACTGTAATTCAGATGATATCAAACAAATCAGTGCCCCAATAATCGCCCCTTTATGTTCGGTACTTAGCTGAAGCATGTACTTAATCTACAGTTGCACATGGGTAAGGTTTAGAAATAGAAATATTATTGGGCATCATCCCATTACGCACTTGATGCAAAATGAAGTAGGTTAGGTTTAGGGGGAAAAAAAACATCACGACAATGTACCTTAAAATAACTCAAGTCCACTTGTATTCACATGGGACACGAACACCAGTCTCCTTACAAAATGTCCTGTGTTTGTTTGACCCATCCACCACCCCACCCTGCCTCCCTGTATGAACTTTCACTCTTTATGCTACTTCCTTCACAGGGTGAATTCCCCTTATTGGGATAATCATGAATATCATGTCCAGCAGCACAGAAAGAGACTGCTGAGAAACCAACAATAAGGGTGTATTTGACCAAAGAAAATCTTGGTCGACAGAAATTCAACCTAATCTTCGACCAATCAATTGGTCAATCGGGAAAGAACTGCACGTTATATCTAGATTAACTAAATTAGCCACAGTGCACTGAATGCACTCCACCTGGTAACATTATGTGTCCACCAAAGCCCTTTTTTCCCTGTCACAGGGCTCAACATTAGCACTTGCCCAGAGCAATTAAACTCTGTGTTCAAGCAAATGGAATGCCTCGAGTGAAAAGTAAAAGTGACCTCCAATGTAATATTCTGTCAGGCTTTCCACCTGAGCTGCTTGTGCCAGTCCTTCTCATCACGAAACACAGAATGGGACTGAAGAGAAAACTCTGATATATTGAACACTGTAGAGTAACCTTGGGGTAAATTATATCATACACAACATCTCTGTAATGCTGCTTGCGACAGAGAGACTTATTTTTAGCTCAGAAGCTAACCTTAGCCATCCTGCCACTCCAACAAGGGCGTCGGAGCAAACATTTCCCTTTCAAAAGCTTTGTAATCCAGACCTGAACTGCAGTATCCCTTTGGAGATTTAATAAAATACATGCATAGTAATAAAATCTGAAAAAAAATTCTTCTGTGATTATTTACCAGTTTTCAAAAAAAAAAATAAAAACGTTGAAAAAACTTTAACTTTTGAGCTGCACTCATCACTGCCGCCAGCCACACTACAAGTGCTGAATAACGACTGCCATTTTCCAGAGACTGTCGACCAATGAGAATTTGGTCAGGCAAGAGCATAACAACCAATAAATCAACCAACCACCCAGAAGTTTACAGCTCTAAAACAGGCTGCATACAGTATGCACTACCCTCAAAGAATGCAAAAGATCTTCATCAAGCATTGGCATATTTCATATTAAAGATATGATATAATGACATTTCAAATAGCTGAAAGCCTGGCTTCTCCTGGCTGTTTGTGTTTCACTAGAAAAGGATGTTTACTAAAAAGATGCATGTCCTATCTGTGATGCAATAAAAATATTTGCTCCTTAACAAATGTAAGGTGAAGCAGTTCCTATGTTTTAGTGGCATTTAAAGAGTTGTAAGCACATTTTGATGATTATCAGGATCATATCATGAATCACAGTTATATTGGACAGGATAACTTTGACATGATTTTTATATATATATTACACCATGGATGCCAATTCCCCCGCACCTGAGCACCCAACCGCTATTGCAAGCATCCATGAGACAATCACAGTGTGAGGTGACCACGTCAGGAGAATAGGGCACTCCTTAGAATAGACACAGCAGTTTTAACTGTGCTAAAATATAATTACCAAGTTATGAGTGAGGACATTGACATTTGCAAAAGATAAGAAATTAGAGACACTTAAATAGTAATTGTAATATTACAGTATATGTGACTAAGTATGACAGTTTGGTAGCCAACGGAAAATTCGTAAAACCCCAAAAAGCTTTGTGCTAACCACACAAAAAATACTACCTTATCTAATCAGTGTATTGTGTTGTTCATCTACCCATTAGGTGTTTTCACTCTGTTTCATCAGAATGCGTGTAAGCCCGGATACATGTCGATGCCGTGTGGAGGTGGAGTAAAAGAACCAGATGGTGTTTTTATTGTGGGAGCTACCTTCTTGCATGAGCTAACATTAAAACAATGAATACTGTAAAGATCTCACTGTTTTATGGATTGGAGCAACACTGTTTGTCTTTTTTTGATTTGGTTTCATGATTAAATGTCTGTTTGTATCCCTCAGTCTTAATAAGCAACAAATGAAAAGACAAGAATACAGAAAATAGGGTACCCCAAATCTTGTTGTGTGTGAGCCAATATGTTTAAAAAGTGAAAAATGCTTTATTACAACAATGACAGTAAGAACAAATGGAAAAAAAAACATTTATATTGATCTGAAACACCAGTTTGGTGGGGGTTTTGAAAACATCTATTTTTTCAATTGATTAAATTCAAAATACAGAAACTAAATTAGATTCGACCATAGGCCATGAATACAAAGGCTGCAGAAGCTTTGGGGCACACACACACATTTGCCGTCTTTGAGCCAGCTATGTGAAATCACATTGATAGAACACAATCAGATTTTCTCATGCTTTCTGTGTACAAACTGCAGTGTATGCATGTGCACACGCACACACACACACACACACACACACACACACTAAACCAGAGAGAGATCGAAGAAGAAGATTAGCCATGCCAGCAGTCATTTCATTGTATTTTTCATACATGTGACAATAAAGGGGACTCAAACTCCAGCTTGACTGCTGACTGAAATCACATTTGATTCACATGAACAGTGGGATAGCTGATGATAAAACCTAGTAGGGTGTAGATATGTGAGGCACAGTCATTTGCCTTTGAAGATGGACAATGAATTGATGGAATGTGGATCTAAAACTGGGAGCAAATTGATGCAGAGAACAAAGTTGAAAGAACAACAATATGATAAAGGATACTGTATGATGTTGCCACTATCAGTTGGAAATGACTCATCTCTTCTGGCTTTCGAGGCATCTTTCCTGTCATCACTTGTAATTGAAAGCACAATATATTTCAACATTTTAGCTCTTGATTAAGATCCAAAAGCACACACGCTTTCTTTTTACCAGTAGCCTACAAGTACGTGGTGCCTCATCATCTTGAGAGCATCACAGGTGCAGTTCAAATCGTCATTATGATAATAATAACACTACAGTCCAGCAACCACTTCTAATTGGCTGAGTAAAGATCAAAGCCACAACGCACAACAAAAGTTTCTCACAGCAAACATTTTGTCTCGTCATAGTAGGAAAAGCACAGATAAGTCGCAGTAAACCTATGAGTGCACTGAAACCGAGGCAGCTAAATGGAATTCAGCCATTGTTAGTGGTTTTGTTTGCACCTGTGCTGTTCCTACTCTGATGCGTCAAAACAGCCAATGGACTTTTGTCATAGCAAACAGACCTGTCACAGCAGTTAACACAGAGGTGCAACTACTGATAGTCATGATGGCTCCATTTTGTGCAGGTGTCCCAGTAAACTAATATTTATAATAACATGTCCCTGACAATGACACATCTAATGCACCACCTACACCCAAAAACTTATCAAGCACTTTCACTGCTGTGTTGATGTTGTTGTTAATCCCATGTCCTCTGTTCTCCTTCAAGAATGAGAAGACATTTATATTTTAAATTTTTTGGTTTTATCATGGTGCCCCCATCTAAGTAGTAATTTCTCTGAATACTGTCAGTTGTCCATCTACATAGATGGAGAAGAGTGTTTCCATACAGCCAGTCAAATGTTTTCATACAGCAGCAATGTCACTGTTCTATCATAGCCTGTCTGCCTAACGGCCTAAATAACAACCAGCCATACAACACAAGAGCAAAAGACTTTTGAACATCATCCTACATTAGCTTTCCTGCTAAAGTTTCCTTCATTAACACATCTTGTCCTGCGCCTTAGCTTGTGGAAGGAGCCACCAAGCATTCACCACGGAAAAGTGCACAGCTAACTTCAGCTGGAGGCTAACGTTAGACAGCTAATTAGCTGGTTAGCTGCAGCACATTAAACAGCATGTAACGCATCTGCGGATGTCACTTTAGTCCATGTAGATGCTGGTGTGGTCCTTACTCTTCAATAGCACTAACAACACACTCTCTCTCCATGACCTGTTCACTACAGCGTAAGTATGTGAACTTTTGTCTCTTGTTTGCCTCCTGAGGCTCAGCCTGCCAATCAGCTGAGAGCAAGAAGGGCATTTCTGATATTTTCCCAAAGCCTGTTTTTACGTCCTTTTAATTATAAAGAACTACTTAAAGACATCATCAATACACTAACATTATTTTTGACTGCAAGTAGGGATGACTAAATGTAATTTCCGCTGGACTTTAAGTCAAGGAAAGTGACTGATGTATTTCAGCCATGTTATTAATGCCTATTGGATGTGTGGCCAATGAAAAAGCAATGCTTCCTCCTGTCTTGGTGCAGTCTGCACACATAATTGTAGCATAAAAAACTGTTGTTAGCTTAATTAAATTCCTACTACTTTGCCTTTAGTACCAATTTGTGCCAACAGAAGTGTTACGATAAATAAAAAGTAGGTCAAGGCTGTACTTTTTCCATTGTGCAGGATTGGCTGCAGGGTGAGATTCATATCTCTTGCTTTTACAAGACAGTTACAACATGAGACTTGCCAATAATATCCAACATTAATTACCCAGCTATCATGTTGCCACATTTGTTGCACACACTGAATACCAGGAACCAATAGCGTTTGGCAGCTTTTGCTCCTGCAGTT